TTGAACCGCCAGCCTTCTGGTCAGCAGTCAAGTGCCTTAGGCACTATGCTACCAGAGCTCCTTGAACTTTAGAAGAGCTAATTAATTACTCAGACATAAGAAGACTTTATTTGGGTGGAAGTTTACAGATCAAATTTATTTTCCATACAGCAGTTCATACACATTTTGTTTCATGACATTGACAGCAATTCTCCACAGTGTAACAGCTCTCTTCCCACTCCTTCCCTGTAGTTACCTCTTCCCTGTGTAAGGACTTTATTTCCAAGGACATACATGATACATTCCCTCTGTCTGAGGAATGGGGAGATGAGTGGCACATTTCTTTTCTTCAGTAATACAATTTTATAAATCTGTTCCTTTTTTAGAAATTAACATATTTATGAAAGAAATACCTAAAAACATGGATGTACAGATCATTGTTAGAATTCTATGTATCATTACAATAAAAATTTATAAAGATAAAAGTTTCTCCTAATTATAAGTTGTACTCGTTTACCTACCTTATAGGCTTTCTTGTGAAACACTAAATTTTTTCTTACATTTTTCCCCTGATAGACAATTCAAAGAAAGTTTGGAGACATAACTAATGAGGCCATTAGCTGCCTTGGTGAGAGTCTGCAACGCATTGGTACCAAATTTAAAAGTTCACTGGAAGTGATGATGATGTGTTCAGAATGCCCTACAGTCTTTGTGGATGCTGAGACAGTAAGTTTTTAAATGGGTAGTTATTGTAAAGACTAAATTTAAATGGCATCATTCAGTAAACATTCTTTTAAAAAATTATTCAGAGTTTTGTGGTATCATTCTTCATCTTTTCAACTTGATGACAAGTATCTAGCAAAGGTCAAGTACATTGTATGCAGTGACTTATGACTGCTTCTGATTCTGACCCCTTTTCACCCCCACTCTCCACGGAGTCCTAGATGCATCATGCTCCAGAGATACAGAAGTTTACTTTTTCCTGATGCTTGAATAAAAGTGGGCAGGAGAGGGCTAGGCTTACCTGCCCTTCCCTATGAAGTACCCAGGACTCCTCAGTCTTCCCCTGCTATGTTCCCAAGCACACTCACAGATTATGTGTTAAGGTATTTATATTAATAATATAAGATTTTAAAAGCTTCACAGGTGATACATTTAAGGCATATGCTGATCTGACCAGCCAACTCTTGCCTGAGCCAGTATTAAAAGCATTTGGAGGGGAATTTGTCCTTTATGATGGTCCTGAAATCCTCTTACATGATTATTCTGTCTCAGTGAGTGGTCAGGCATTAGTAAGGACAGTGAAGTTAGGGATGCTGACACCAAGTTGGGCTGAAAACAGCTAACAAAAATACCATGACACAAAAGTTGTCCATCTCATGATTGTGATCAGAAATGGTAACCCAGACCAATGTGTTTCTGATTTGACAGCTGATGTCATGTGGTTTGCTGGAAACACTCAAGTTCAGTGTATTGGAGTTGCAAGAACACTTGGATACATACAATGCCAAAAGAGAAGCAGCTGAGCAGGTCAGTCCTTTTACCAGGTGAAAAAGTAGTTTGCTCTTGATACTAGAAGTGTTAACCTGACAGCTGAATAGCCCAGATAGAAAAGAGAGTGTAGCACACACCTAAGGGTTTTACTGCGAATGGTGGGGCCTTGAAGCATTCTGTCCAGTGGACTCCTATCTTTGACTTTTATATGTTGGCCTTTTAAGAGCCTATGAACATAATGGAAAACCATCCCTCTGTAAAAAGTTTCTATGTGGTGACCATATAGCTGCTGTCAACATTGCCCATTTTTGTAAATGAGTTGTGTTTTTCTTATTGCAGTTTTTCTTTATTCTAAATGCAACCCCTTTAGAATGTTTTATGATACTATGTTATGGAAAACTTGCAGCCTGTGACAACATTGTGATCTTTTTCCTATGATGTTCGTGTGTTCATGGGCTAGCAAGGGAAAAATAAGCATGGAGTGGATTGCACATCACTCTTGATCAGATCACTCTTGATAACAAATGTTTCTTCAGCTCTACTTTGCACTGAAAAGCATATTAGCTCAGTCCTCTGACAGTAAATCCAGTGTTTTTTCAATTGGCAGGAGCAGAAAAAAACAAAGAAAAATACTTTCTGACTTTCACACAAACAACTTACAGTAGGTTTGTTGTGTGTGGTTTGTTTTTTGTTTGTTTGTTTGTTTCCCATTAAATATCTATCACATACAAAGGCCTATGGGGGGGGGGAAGAAAACATTGTTGTCAAGTCACACTTCCCATAGCCACCCTATAGGACAGAGTAGAAGTGCCCCGTAGTGTTCCAAAGGCTGTAATCTTTATGGAAACAGTGCCACATCTTTCTTTGAGAGAGTGGCTAGTGGGTTGAAACTGCTGACCTTCCGTTAGCAGTTGAACAGTTCACCACTGCACCACAGTGGTTTGCATATGAAAAATGAAGTATAAATTGTGATTCACGTTCCCTAAATATTCTAGAAAGGACTATACAGCACAAATGCTATATACAAATAGTTAGTTGACATATGCAAAATGTCTAGTATTAATTAGGTGATCACTTATGTGATAACTATAGATAAAAGTACTTATAATGAAATAGGATTCCTAAGATGGTACAGGTCTAACAGAGAAGAGGACTTGAGAGGCCAAGTACTGTGATTTCCAACGAGAGATCACTTTGTTCTAAAAGGAAAAACGTCACTGACTGGGAATATGAATTTAGTCCTTGACAGATGGTTTAGATTGGGGGATGATTTCAGGAAGGGAATATAATATAAGAAAAATCTTACCATATCAAGGCTTTCTCAAACCCTTACAAGGGGAAAGAGATCTTATATTTGAACTGAAGGACTGATGACAGCTTGGAGAAGAGGAAAGAGTTTTCAGTATCGGGAAAGTATCAGGCACAATATGGTTATCTTACACATCATACTGTTATGTGAATTCTTGTTCATGTCTTTTGGGTATTTATGTTCACATGTCTGTTGAGCATCTACCTGGGAATGGAATTGGTGGGTTATGCATTTTGACTTTATGTTCCGCTTCAGTGGGTTCTGCCAAGCAGTTTTCCAAAAGAAGTTGTATCACTTACTGTCCCATGAGAAGCGTGTACAAGAGTTAGTTGCTTTGTATTTGCCCATTGATAAGTTGGTATGCCAGTTTTTAAAATTTAGCTCTTCTGGTTGGTGTATGTTAGTATCTCGAGATGCTATTTTGCATTTCCCTAATGACTCATGTTGAGCATCTTTTCATATATGTCTTCATTTAGATATTTTCTTTTTTGAATTTTCCCTTCAAGTCCCTTGCCCATTTTTGTAAATGGATTGTTTTTTTTCTTATTGATGGACTTTCTCTTTATTCTAAATTCAAGCCCTTTATTTGATATAAGTATTGAAAATATTTTTTTTTCTTTCTCTGGCTTACATTATCAGTGTCTTAATAATATCTTTAGAGGAACAAAGATAATTTTAATAAAGCCCAGGTTAAAAGTTTTTTCCATCATGGTTGTTTTTCATGTCTTAAGAAATCTTTACCTGTTCTAAAAGCTATCTTTCCCGTACATTTTGACATATGCAGACATATGACTTTACTATCATTTTCTGCACTTTGTAAATCTGGTGGCCTTGTGACTTGCTGTGACCAATTAAATTCAGCAGAAGCAACATGGCGCAACTTCTGACACTAGCCTTTAAGAGGCTAGTGTTTCTGCTTTGACCATCATGCTGATCAGAATGTAGATTGGGTAACTAGAAAATTGTTTGCTTCAAGCCTACTAAAGGATTTGGAGGAGAATTGAAGGCATCCCATCTGACAGCCAACATGCCAGGAACTTCCAACCCCAGTCAAGTCATCAGATGACTATAGAGTTGAGTGGCCCTGGATAAGACTGGAAGAAATGAAATTTCAGGCATTGTATTTTTCAGTTCCAGAATTTCCCTCTGCTTATTTTCATAAATTCTAGTTTTGGGGTATAATTCTCCCATTCTTTATTTTATTGTGAACATACTGTCATAATTATTTCAGAGTTCATGATTGCTAACTCTCATACCTGGATCACCTATAAATCTGGGTCCATTGTCTGTATTTCCTCCTCAGTTATTGGGTCTTATTTCTGGCATGCCTGGTTAATTTTTATGGAATGCTAGAAATTGTTCCTGAGAAACTGTAGAAACTCTGGCTGGTATCTTTCTCCACAGAAGATTTAACTTCCTTTTCATAGTCACAGTAAGAGTATATCGTCTTGAGCTAACCAGGGAATGAGCTGTTTCCAGACTGTGATTGAGGCTCTGTGAGAGGTGGTCCGATTCCAGTTAGTCTGACTCGTAGGACATAACCATCCAAGAATCCCAAGTGAAAGCCCACAGCATTTGCCAGGGCTCTGCCATCTTGGTCAGAATTGAACGATTTTTATCTCCCCGCCACCATGACATCAGAAATTTCTCCCTACCTTTTTAGCCTGCCAGAGCTACTGCTTGGTTTCTCAGCCTCTTCTCCAGAGCATGATAAACATAGGAACAGCAAGTGCCCGAGGGGAGGTTGCATACAGACTGTTGGGCTCATTTGTCTGCAGTTCCCTTTTCTCCAGGATCTTGGCCCTCAGTACCTCACTACCTTTGATAACCCTGTTTTCTTAGCTTATTGAAACTGTAGGCCATAAACTCTTAAGTCACCACTTTCTCTTCAGCGTCTATGCTATGGGGCATGAATAGACAAATACCCTTGAGGTGAGAACTGGAATAAATACAGGGCTCACTTAAGTACTTTTCTCTCTGGGATCTTAGCTTCTCGAGTCCTAGCTGATGGTATTCAGCTGTTATAGTTGTTCTTGAAAGATTGGTCTAATACAGGCTACTCCATCATGGCCAGAAGTGGAACCTATCCAGTTAAATTTTAATCTTCATTTGAACGTTAAAGACACACAAACAGGAAGACTGATTAGATGTAAACTGGAGGGTGGTGTTTACACACACTCCCCACTGTGTTTTGCATGCATTGACTAGAAAAGTATGAACCTGTACACTTCAGGCCAGTGTGGAGCCATGAAACTTCACAGTGGAGGCTTTTTTTTTTGACAGTAAAAATTAGAAATAATGATGTTTAATAGTGCTAAAAAGTGTGATATCACTAGCTGTGCATTATTAAAATTATATTTAATAAGAATACACCATTAAGTAAATTGATTTTCTTTTCACATTTATTAGCGTACTTGGACAGATTGGACTGGATTACAGTGATCATTAAGTTTATAAACATTTTATATGAATAAAGGTTAATGCACAAATTCCATGATAGATGTCAAGCTGCATTTTGCTGAAATAAAGAAATCTGCTGGATAGCTTTTGACAAGGGCTGCTATCAGCTGTCTCAGTAGAAAAGCTTAACATGTTTTTCTTCAGAGATGCTGTCAAGCACATAGCCTCAGAGTCATTGCCGTCTGAGGGACTGGGACATAGGTCAAAGAGATTGTTTTGAAATAACTGAGATGTCTAATTTTAATTCTTTGCATGTAGAAAGTTAAGGTACAATAGAAAATTTTAAATGTGTATCTAGTTCTAATTTTCAAAGAGCGAATCTAATGTAACAGTTTTCTCAAAGTCCTAATGATGTCTTATATCTTACTGTTATGTACATTAATGTATCACAAAAAAGAAAAACTAGGAAGTTAAAAGAACTGATTATTAGTAATATCAAACTGTCAGAATTTAAGACGTTAACTAGAAGGTTTTAGCTTTTACATCAGCTTGGAAATCCTATAACTTCAGAGTTCCCACTGTATCACAATGCTATTATTTGATTTTTATTTGACCAAAGAAAATGTACTTTAACAAATACCCAATTTTAGCAGTGGCCCCTGGATAAGGATAAACCGTATTTGGCTTCTATATCGAATAGTCATTGGAGTTCAACATGTTTGTCATTCATTACTGTCCAAAATGAAAGAGAGAAAAAGAAGATTGGAAATAGATCTTGGTTTCTGTTTCACTAATTAAAAGTGACACAGTTACTGAGATTTACATGTCTGATAAGCAAAAGGACCCAGTTGATTCTAAGTTGCCTTTATTAAATTGACAGAGGGAGCACATCTTTCATTGCCCCATCTTAAACAAAGGTTTCCAATAAGATCTGCAACATGAAAAATATTCTTTACAGAAATGGAGTGCCAAAGATCCCTAAATGGAAGATGTTTATTAGTAAACAGTTGTGTGTATTTTATAATACTGAGCGTATCATCCTGCTGAGGTTGTAAATGATGAGGCTCAAAAGGAGATGAAATTCTAACAACCAGTCCTGAAACTTCAAATTAACTTTTAAGATGGTTGCTTTATATGTAAAGACCATTTCATTACCAACTTCATTGTGCATTATGCCATCACTGTATGAACATTGACTGTTACTCATATCTTTAGTGGTTAGACAACTGTAAGAGGACCTTTGGTACAAAAGGAGACACTTACCGGACGAACACAGAGGCACAAGTAAGTTTCCTTTTTTCCTGCTACATTTGTGTATCATATAACAATGTGTCTTCAAAAGTGCATATTTGATATTCCTAGAAAAAAAGAATGTTTGTGAAACTTTTCATTTTGGTTATCAGAACCGTCTTTGTAAAAGTTAGGCTCAATGAATTACTGGCTTGGTAATGAAAAGTTCACTTTAATGAAAATGAACCACCGGCTTGTGCTGGAGCTTCCTAACAGTCCACGGCTTGATGGCCATCTGCATAGTCCAGGTTGGTTTTGGTTGCATCTCCCTCTTGAAAAAAAAAGTGTCCAGCATTAGTAGTCTGCAGGTAAGTTGTCTGGTTAGGAGAACAAAGCTAAGAGTAATATATAAATGAAAATCAGCCTTTCTAAAGGCAAAGTTCTTATTACAAAAATTACAAGTTTGGTTTTTTTTTCTCTAGTGTAAAGTTCAGTGAAAATAACAGCAATATATTTTCCTAGGGGAAAGTACACATACATAATATGCATACTGGATTAAGTGAAGATAAAGACACACCTACACAGAGAAGAGTACAGCTTCATATGGAGAAAATGCATTCATTATCTAAACCACCTCTGTTTTTGGCATCAGAATTCTAATTTTTTTTAGTTCAGTTACATTGTTACAGATTTCTTGTCACTATAAAAGTTATTGCACTATTATAATTATTTGGGGTTTTTAAAAAACTGGAATGCTGAGAAATAATGCTATACTCTCAATAAATGTTAATTATTTTCCAAGCACTGTGCTCAAACCAAAAGCAAACTCACTGCCATCGAGTCAGTTCCAACTCATAGTGACCCCTTTGGGTTTCCAAGGCAGTAAATCTTTACAGAAGTAGATTGCCCTGTTTTTCTTTTGTGGAGTGGCTGTTGGGTTTGAACTGCCAGCCTTCTGGTTAGCAGTCAGATCCCTTAGCACTATACCACCAGAGCTCCTTCGCTAAGCATTTCATATTCACTCTCTACTCTTCTGACTCTATTAAGTAGATGCTGTTGTTATGCCCATTTTACAAATGAGGACTGAGGTTCAGAGAGGCAAATTTATCTAAAATGAGTAATAGAAGAACAGTCTTGCACTGTTACAAAGAAACTAATTGTCAGTATTGTTTTGGTTCCCTAGTGCTGCTGTGACAGGAATATATACCACAAATGGGATGGCTTGAACAAACAAGAGTTTATTCTCTTACAGTTCAGGAGGCTAGAAGTCCGAGTTCAAAGTGCCAGGCTCTAGGGGCTGGGTGAAAGCCCCTCAACCTTGGGCTTCAGCTCTGCCTCTTGCTCCCGGCCCACTGAAGCTAGAGACATCTCTTCACTCAGGCACCTACTGGCTGCTGAGGCTAACAAGCCCAGGGTTGACAAATAAAATGGCACAGTCCTGATGTTACCAAACCACACGGCAGGCCATTAATTCAAGTCAACCCTAAGTCCCAAGGTCGGCAGAGCATGGCAGGCTGCTGAACAACGACCTGACTATATGCAGGGTCCAAGTGTGTCATAAGCTAGAGACCATTCCAGAGCTGCTGCTTATATACAGGAAGCAGACCACATCCCTGTGGCAGCTACTCAGCTGCTTGTGGTAGGTCCTACCATGGAGTTGGTTGCCAGTCTCATCATGGGGAATAACTACCACCAGCTGACCAGCCATTCAGCCAGGCCCAGTGAAGATGACACACAAACTTAACCACCACACAAATCAAAGAAAGAAAGAAATGAGGCAAGATAAGGAATTAATCCTAGACTAGATGTCAGTCCTTTGGTTCTAATTCTGTCTTTACTACTGTTTAACTGTGTGGCTTGAGCAAAAAAAAAAAATCTCCATTTTTCCCTATGTGAAATTAGACTAAGTGATTTCTTAGACCCCTTCCACCTTTAAGAATATAAGATCCATTTCTAAGAGATGGGTATCTCTTGAGGTTTTCTAAGTGAAAACTGTATTTTGTATCTTTTTTTTTTAGACGATTATTTCATTTATATTGTTTCGCCTTTCATATCCAGTGTTCTGGTTACCTACTGCCACTCTGACAGGAATATACCACAGATGGGATGGCCTTAACAAACAGGAGTTTATTCTCTCACAATTAAGAGGCTTTAAGTCCAGGTTCAAAGTGCCAGGCTCTAGGGGCTACAAAAAAGGTACAGTCCCGATGTTACCAACCAATGGCAGGCCATTAACTTAAGTCCATTGTAAGTCCCAAGGTCGGCAAAGCATAGCAGGCTGCTGAGCAACAACATGGCAAGGTCCAAGCTTACCAAAGGCTAGAGACTATTCCCAAGGCTTCTCCTTATATACAGGAAGCAGACCACATCCCAAAGGCAGCTAGCTACTCAGCTGCTTGTGGTAGATCCCACCATGGAGTTGATTACCAGTCTCATCATGGGGAATAACTACCACCAGCTGCCCGGTCACTCAACCAGGCCCAGCCAAGTTGACACAAAGACATAACCACCACATCCAGCCTCTTGAGTGAGGTGAAAGGAGGGGAGGGGGCACCATTTTTACACAACTTTATTATCAGTCCCTATGCACCAGTATCCTCAGAAGGAAGGTTGGGCAATCTACTTCCGTAGAGATACTGCCTCGGAAACCCAAGGAGGGGTCGCTATGAGTCAGATCCGACTCCATGGCAGTGGTTGCATATGCACCAGTAAGGTGCTCTGGTGGTGTACTGTTTAAGGCATTTGGCTGCTAACCAAAAGGTTGGCAGTTCGAACCCACCAGCAGTTACGTGTTAGAAAGATGAAGCAGTCTGCTTCCATGAAGATTTATAGCCTTAGAAACACTATGGTGCAGTTCCTACTCTGTCCTATAGGGTTGCTATGAGTCAGAATCAACTCTAGCACTGGATTTTTGGTTTGGGTATGCACCAGGCCAGTCTTTTGTATAATAAGCAATCAGTATGTATTGAATGGACAAATGAAAAGTATATTGCAGATTTCAGTATACTTAAAAAGCAGTCATTTAAAATGTGCATAGGTATACTACTGCATAAAAACTCACTATTCATTAGCATATGTAGAGAAATTCTGGTAATTGTGAGGCATAGGATTAATTAAATTTGTGTTATCTCCTATAGTTTTGGTGATCTTGAAGTTTATCAGCTGATTTATTTTCTATTACATCCCAAAATGGAGACTATGCATACACACATGTAGAGTCAGTTCTGTCATATTAACAGATGTGAGTAAAAAGTATTCAAAACTCCAAATAGTTGTTAATCTCTAAATACTGTATAAATGAAACCTCAGAGCTGCAACCTTAAATATGCTAATATGTTTGGCATTGGATTGTGCTTGGCTTACTGAATGTATCCACATAATTTATGGTAAACTATACAGAGCTAAAGTTCACCTTTGCTTAGCAAATCCTTTCTAAATTGATAGGAATAAATGTGAAAACATTCTTTAGAGGAAACTGTTTAGAACAGCAAACTTTAAGAAGTACTTCTAGAAGCTACATTATAGCAACTGCTGTTTTAATTAGAAGTCATTCCTCTCCGGGTCCCAGTTGCTCTAGATATTATAATAAGTTTTTAAATATTCCATAAATTAGATTTTTCACTGCGGTTTTTCACATACATTACCGTTTTTTACTCAAACCTAGTTGGGTTAAAGTTTTGAAGTTTACTGAATTACATTTGGAATGCAATTTAAAATGCTTTGATATTCTACCCTCTGGCTCAGTACCAACTATGGGAACCTAGAACATGATTAGGCAGTAAAGTGTGGAAAGTTAGATTGAGCCAACAGAGATAATCTTCTCATAGATATTTATTACATAAGATTATAACAAATTCTGAGAAGTAATTCATTTGTTTTTTTCTCTTCAGAAATTTTGCACTTTACTAATGAAAATTTTGGGAGCTCTGGTAGCACATAACAACAACAACAACGAAAAGTTTATTATTGTTTTTTTATTTCTGAGTTTTGTTTTCGTTTTCTTTTTTGCACAGGCAATGAAAGCCTACATACAAGAACACTTACAAAAGCCAAATTTCCCAAGATCACATTAGTGGTTTCATTTTACTCTTTGTAGCTTTTTACACAGAAATAAACTATAGCCTGACATAACTGCTAGGAGTTCTGGTGTGCCGAGTATAAAGCATTCAGCTACCAACCAAAAGTCAACAGTTTGAACCCATCAGCCACCTTATGGGAGAAAGATGAGGCAGTGTGCGTCAATAGATTCATAACCTTGTAAACCCGGCCGGGCACTTCTGCTCTGTCCTATAGAGGATCGCAGTGAGTCAGAACAAATTTGATGGCAGTGGGTTTGGTGTTTTGGTTTTAAGTGTAATTGAGTTATTACTTCCCAAAATGTTAAAATCATCCTGAATTGTTGCAGTAAATGTCTGAAAAATTTTATTCTGGAAATAGCATCATAAATTTTCCTTTGGGGTATAAATATATGTTCTACAGTTGACCTGGGACATCTGTGACCCTAGTTAAAATGATTTCTTACACTAATTCTTGGTCTTTTTCTTCTTTTGTATTTTTTTATGACCTGCTCACCTTCTTGCTTAGCAAATGGAAATTCTAGCAGTAAGTGACCTGTCTTGATTTATAGACTACTTAACCTTGACAGACAAACTGGTTTTCATCTACCATTTGTCTATTTGTGACCTAGAAATGTTTTGTCATGGACTACTTTAAGAGCAGCGTGTGCTTCAGTTTTGCATAGCCCTAATCCATGAAATGTTGGCCCTGTTTTTTAAAAAAAAGCATTTTATAATTTATATATACAACTAGAAATTGCCTTTTTATAAATGTTACTAACATATCTCCTTTTAAAATCAAGTGCACGTATTAATTTCAGTTAAGTTACAGAGTTTTCTTCTAGAAAGATGACTATTTTAAAAACAAGTTATTCTTACTTTTTAGCTAAAAGGTTATCTAGTTTTATTGTACTTTATCAAGAATTTCTTGATAAATGAAATGTTCATCTTGATGGGCAAAGCCTATGCATTTGTAAATTATTTTCATTGTGAATTGAAAGTTTTAAGTAACAGTGGATCCTTTTTATAACATCCTACATATTGCCTGCTGAAACACACTGTATGTCTAATGTGAAAATGTGCTTAACACCAAGAATGAAATATGTAATCAACAATGATCTTTAAGTTTTTATTTTAATCCCAGTCTTCAAAGCATCTTTCATCTGTTTTTCATCAGCTTCACACCATTTTAACTTACTTACTGCAGGGAAAAAAAAAGGCAAGAAAATAACATGATTATTTATCAATTGTTATTGAAAATAGGCTCTCTAGTCAAATATTGTGGGAAAATACCACCTAAATTTAATGTGATGTTATTTATTTCTAGGAACTGGAGCTCTGCCGAAGGTTATACAAATTACATTTTCAATTGCTGCTTCTGTTCCAGGCCTACTGTAAACTTATCAACCAAGTAAATACAATAAAAAATGATGCAGAGGTAAATATTCATTTGTATTAGGCATCAGTGAGATTCTAGAAAATAAAATATATACATACATATACCCTGTGTTAGAATAGCTTCAGTCAAACATCATTTATATATTTATTTATTTGTTTATTTATTTATTTATTTTAATTCAGGAATTTTCCTTTTTTTTAGATTAACGTGCTCTTTTTTTTTAGATTAATATGCTATTTCAGGACCTCTTAGTAAATAAAACAGCAGATATCTAACAGTGTTAAAAGGTTCAAGACCTTGAAAGTTTCAGCAGCAACAGATCATCTGTAATCAAAAGTCAAGTGCATCAATTCAATGAAGACATAATACTGGATATTATGAAATTCTCTAACATCTTGTTCATATATTATTTCTGTATTTCCATTAAAGTACACAGGAATAAACATGTTAAAAATACTTTGAATGTTAGAAATCATTTAACGTATAGGTCCAAAGTTAGTACTTTTTCTTCCTCCTTGTCATCTGTTGGTACTAAAACTGTCACTGGGAAAATAATCTTTTTTTTTTTAACTGTTAAATCTGTTTGCTTGTTGTTTTTTTTTAAAATAAAAAAAAGAAAAGCTCTGGTGGCATAGTACCTAAGGCATTTGACTGCTAACCAGAAAGCTGGTGGTGGTTCAAACCCACCAGCCACTCCTCGGAAGGAAGGTTAGGCAGTCTACTTCCATAGTAAATACCACCTCATAAACCCAAGGAGGGGTCGCTGTGAGTTAAAAATCGACTCAACAGCAGTGAGTTTGGTGTTTTGTATATAAATAAACATATTATACATATGTATATCTTAATGTGTATATATAATACTATATATGTACTTTATATAAAATACCCTTGGTAAGTATCCTCTTTAAATATGTAGTGATCATTCCTTACTATCAAAAAAATGTTCATGACCCTCCCATAAAAATAAAGGTGATTTTACTATCCAAGATACATAATCACATTAAAACCAGTATCAACATTTATTACAACTTGTTGCTTTATCAGATAGACTTAACTTGGTGGCTGAAATAATTTACTTTTTCCTACTGAGAACTTGAAATATTAACTACTTTTATCTACTGAGCTTTACATTAATCTCTAAAATAAGAGAAAATACTACCACCATCAGGTATATCCAGCAGCCAATTAAATGCTTTAGAAAAAACTGAATATACAAATAAATCTGTATTTTATTATTTGATTTTTGTTTTATTTTAGGTCATCAACATAATGGATAATGTGATTTTTCTGTTTTATTTTAGGTCATCAACATGTCAGAGGAACTTGCCCAACTGGAAAGTATCCTCAAAGAAGCTGAGTCTGCTACAGAAAATGAAGAAATCACTATTTCCGAAGCTGCCCACACTACTGTAGAAACTGCCATCCATTCTTTAATTGAAACTCTAAAAAATAAGGAATTTATATCAGCTGTAGCACAGGTCAAAGCTTTCAGGTAAAATATGAGAAGATTTATACCTTATGTTTATTTACATTTCTTACTGTTATACCTAGATGAGAAGTTTACTAATGGCCATTTAATTGGGTTTTGATATCAGTTTCAATATCATGTCTTTGTGAAAGGAAAACATGACTCTTATATTCTACGGTTACCACTAAATTCATCCCACGTTTACATTGTTCTCATTCTCAGTAGTACTTTCAGTGATATATTTGCTGAAATACTAAAATAGGCCCTCAGTGCAAGGAAATGTGTTACAGATATTGACTTCAGTGTAGTTAATCTTAGTAAGTGATTTAGCCTCAAGACTTACAGATATTGTCTATTTTCAGGTCTCTCTGGCCCAATGATATATTTGGTAGTTGTGAAGATGACCCTGTGCAGACGCTGTTGCACATATATTTCCATCATCAGACACTGGGCCAGACTGGAAGCTTTGCAATTATAGGCTCAAACCAGGACATGTCAGAAGCTAACTGCAAACTGATGGAACTTAACCTACAAATAAGAGAGTCTCTACGCACAGTGCAATCCTACCAACTTCTGGCACAGACCAAGCCCATTGGAAACTTGGTGAGCACTGGATTCTGAGAAACTTCAGGCATTTAGGAAAGAAACTATACTGAAGATGATTAAGAATATTAATAAGCACCTTTTATGAACCCTTTTAACTCACTGATAACTTTCTCTGGCAGCATCCTCAACTGCGTATGTTGTAACTAATGTGAGACTTTATCAAAGGAAAAAAGAAACAATTTCAAAAGCAAAGATCTGAAGAAAAAGAAAACTTAATTTTTAACAGCTGCCAAGACTTCCCACAATAACTGTATAAAGAAATAATTTTGTAATTACTTAACTTAGGTGGAAAGAAAAGGGCTAAAAGTGATGCATACAAATACATTACTTTCTGGAGAAAGAAAAGAATTCCAAGAAAGTTTGCAATAATGGCCTCTAATACTGAGACATTGGAAAGCAGGTGATATGAGGCTGAAATTGAAGCTGGTTTATTTTAGCTGAAGACCTGCAAAGCTGCTTGGGTTTCTAGCAGTCATAGTCTACAGACTGATGCTTAGTCATCCACATGAAGGACATCCAGTCACACAGACATTCACAGAAAAGACTTATTTGCAAAAACCATTGATTTTTTTCAATATGTGGAATAAGGGTTGGGGTGTTTTTGTGTTTTTTTTGGGTCTGTATAAGGAATTATGTGTGTATGGGTTGGGATGTATGGATACGTGACGGTCCTATTTTTAAGGTGTGGATGTTTGGTGATAACGTCTCGGAGCATGCCTAAAAGAGCACTGCAAGATTATTTTTGAAAAAATTTTATTTTATTAGTGCTAACTCTTCATAGTGTGTAAATGTTAGAACATTTTAATAATATTATAAGACTGGGCTCTCCCAGTATTTCAAAAAGAATAATATATCTGTTAACGTTATTGGAATGCTGCTCAGTTCTCTGATCAGTGCTTATGTTACACCTGTTGATAACTAACCAAAGTAGATGCCTGCAGAGACTTTAAAATGTAAAATAAAGATGTATGCTGCCCGTCAGCAACTCTCATTAGAAAAGTTAACTTATTTTACTCCGTAATTATTACAGAAACTGTATAGATTAAACCAGTATTTTCTTGTACATTTGTGCATTGCACTGTTACACAAGAATAGGTGTACAAAGCTAAACGAAAAATTGTGGTCACTGATGTTAGAGTATATGACTTGCAGACTCTGAAATCTGCATAATTCAAGAAAAGAGATGCAAATGCATTTTTGTATGTTTATTCAGGACTCGTATGTTTCACCCTAAAGGAACCTGGGGCTATGGGGGAAAACGAAAGGAGGCCTGGAGACTGCCTACCAAAACATGCAATATACTTACTCACTGTCTAAGTCTGTAGCGTAACATGAACTGGATTCTCCATCCTTTTTTAAATAGCATTTTGTAAAAGAAATGAATGTAGTCCCACAATTCCTCTGATTTGAAAGGAACACCTTGTATTTTTTATATGCATCTCTTAATCCACTGTGACTTTTCTTTTGAACTGGGCTCTGTGATTCCAGAGTTTAGAATGTAGAAATGAAATGCTTAGCTTTGCCTTTTCTTGGGGGTGTGAACCCTGCCAGAAATGTAAATTATGCTCAAGTGCATTAATTGAAGGCACTGTGCACACCGTTAGACTGCTGACCATAGTTATGTTACTTGTAAAATTCCAAAACTGGTCACGACACACTCATAATCACTGTATTTTTTGACCCTGATAAAACAATTATTTTGATGGTGTTCTGGTACTGTAAATGGTGTCCTTTAAATTATTGACTAGCTTATGGGTGTGGGGCAGGAAGAGAGGGGTGGTACCTAGAGATGCACCACACTTTACAGCCTATCTTCCCATCTCATATTTTTCTCACCCTCCTTATATCTTTGTTAAAATAAAAAGCATTGTAGTGTTGGTTTGTGTTGTATTTTAAGATGAATGATTATAGTGTGCATCATTTAGAAACTTTTCAGATGTTACCTCCATTCTTCTTAAATGTAATTTTTCCTAAAAGAGAGACCAAAATTAGTTGAGTGCTTACCCAAACCATAACCTTGTGAAAAAAGATGAAATTTGCTTTTCCTATTTATTTACATGTAACTAAATCTGTTGATAATAAAAATGAACATCCCTGCAGAAAGTAAGAAGCAACTATAAATTCACTAGGATTATCCTTTTGCAAATGAATTTTCCTCAGACTTTGGCTTCTTTGTCCCTCACCATCTGAATCTAAAGTTGGCATGAACAAACTATAGCAAATGCTTTATTTACTAAATACCTGACTTAGTTCCACTTAGAGCCCAGAGTTTGCTCCAAACAACCTTTTTCTTTTGCCCCTAAATTTCTCATTTTCAGACATAAGTTTGTAAAATAACTCCAAAAGAAGATATCTGGCATGGTCCTCATGCTGTTTCTAAAAACAAAGGGCCAGAAGATTTTTACACAATTTAGAGAGTGGTTTGTGCTTTTAGTGATGGGAAACAGAAGAGGTAATACAACACAGAGCGTCCCTTAAATTTAGGAAATCGTGACGCATTCTCTTAGGAAAGACTTACCGAAGCCTGACTAAGCTTTGCTCATTTACATCTGTGAAGGCTCCTCGTGTACCACACAACCATAAACTAACTGGAAGAAAATAAAATTAATTTTATTAATTTTTATAATATTCTATAAATGTATTATCTTGACATCCAGAAAGAACATCTTGGTGTATTTCCTTTTAGCCTTTCTTGTCTCTCTCTCAAAATTTATAACTTTTGGATTGTGTACATGAACAGTCTGACAGTGCCTTCTCATTGCTAGCGTGTTATCACCATCTCTCACTCATCAAGATAGATGTTTTTGTACCACTTTGTTCCATGTTTGCACACACACTAACCCTAAGCAAAGCACTTTGATCCTTTCTTTCCTCAAATATAAAATAGAGTTAGGTGCCCTGTTAGGAATATTAACTGCAAACAATATTAAATGTAAAGGATGACTTAACTACCTATATACATAGCCAGTGAATATCTGTCTTAGGACTTGGGGCAGGTACATTGTATTAATGCATTCATTCAGTTCATCAGGAAATACTAAGCCCATATATGCCGCTGCCTGCCATGGAAGGAGCCCTCTGGTTAAAGCAGTTGGCTTTTTTTTTTTAAAAAAAAAACCCACCTGCCACTCTGCAAGAGTGGCTTTTTTTGTTTTGTTTAGGCTAAGTTCAAATGTATTTTTTCGATACTACAAAAAAGTAATCCTTGAAAATCAGAATACAAACAGAAATGAGCATGATAACAAGTATTAAACATCTCTATGAAATACCTGTTGCAAAGTTTGACAAAAATGCACACTTAGAACATATGGTTATTTAAAAAACAAACAAACCCTCCCCACGATTCTGTAGAACCAATGTTATGTCACCACCAGGAAAGTACCAAGCAAGACACCATTGGAAAGACAACATATTTGGAAAGTCTCTAAAAGTAAATGCTAATCTGGTCAAAAAGTTGGTGTCTGTGGTCAAAATTCCATGAGGATGGCATATTCCATCATGTTACTCGTTTCACATTTCCTTTTGCTCAGTCACCAGTGTAAGCACAACTTGTGGTATAATCTGTTATCTTCCCAGTCTCATAACTTCTCAATTGATCCTTATGTTCTTCTACTGAGGCAAATAACTGGCCACATACTGCAGCCTACTGTGCAGCAGAACAAAGGCAGCCACAAGTCGCCAGCGTACATTAACAGGAAGCTTCTTCCTAAGACAACGGTTAACTCTCTTGATTCTGGCTTTAAAGTCTTCAGGAGCTGCTTTCCCAGTTAATGAAGAAGGGAATTCTGACTGAAATTTGTTGCTCAGTCCAAATAATGACGACGTGACTGGAGCTCTTCCTGGAGTCTGCTTCGATAAAGATTACAGTCTTGGAAACCCTACAGGGCAGTGCTGTTCTGGCCTGTAGGGTCACTGTGAGTTGGAATTGACTCAACAGCAGTGGGTTTTTGGCATGCCATGGGAGTCAAATGGGTTTCCTATCCCTGTACCTACTCCCAACCAAATCACTAGTAACAGAGTAAGTAAAGGAACATCACCTTTGCCCAAACACCTCAAGAGTTCTGAAGTCATTCTCTTTGCCCTACTACTACCTTACTTGATTCTTGCAAGTCTTACTAGTCTACTGGCATCCATTTTAGTGATTTCTTTTTAATGGTCCATTTGTCACCATATCCCACCCCACCATGCCTTTAAAAGCCTTCACTGGATTCTCACTGACCAGATGAAGACCAAGCCTCCTTAACAGGGCCTGAAAAGCCTTCCCAGGTTGGCCTACCAGTCTCCTTCACAATTGTGCCCATCTCAGACCTCCTGAGTGTTCTAACACTGGGTCTCCCACCAGGGAACCTATGCACATGCTGTTGCTTTAGTCTGGAAAATGTCTCATTCCTCTCTCTGACTCAACTCTCAACTGAGGTGTCATTTTTTTCAGGCAAGCTTTCCCTGACCTCCCTGAATTAGACCCCCTATTTATTACAGGCACTTAACTGACCCAGTAACTCTTCCAGAGGACTTTATGTAAAAAGAATGACCATCTCCACATTATACTGGAAACTCCATAAGGGCAGAGCCCCAGCTGTTTATTTTCTGTAGTAAGCATAGGGCTGACCAAACAGGTAGTTTTCGAGCTTCAGTTGTAAAAGTATCACCCAGGTTGCTTGTTAAATGCTTTACCTCCAGATGGTAATTCAGCAGGAATGGAGACCTAGGAGTCTGCATTTTCACAAGCATCTCCTAGGTACATACAGGTACAAATAGACCTTTCCCTTTAATATATACTCTAGAAACCTCAAACCCATTTTAAATTCTTTTATCCTGTACACTTGACTACCCACAAGCATCCAAGATGTTAACCAAACCAAAAACCCAATGCCGTTGAGTTGGTTCTGCCTTGTAACGACCCTATTATAGACAGGACAGAGTAGAACGGCCCCATAAAGTTTCCAAGGCTGTCAGTTTTTACAGAAGCAGACTGCCTCATCTTTCTCCCACACTGCTGGTGGATTCAAACAGCCAACATTTTGGTTAACAGCCTAATAATACTCTACCCACTGCACCACCAGAGCTCCTGAAGATGTTAACATGCTGTCCTAAGGTAGAAAAACGGCCAGCAAATAGGAAGGAGACATAATTAGCACCCTGTCCCAATTATGTGGTTTCTGTAACCATTAAACCAATAACCCTCATCTCTGAGAACAGGGCCTCAGTATTTCTCTGGAATCACTTAGAAAACAATTATACATGCAGCTAGAATGGAGACTCCTGCTTCAGACAGCACAAAACGCTATTTCCTGACTCTGCCTGCAAGTTAAGAAAAGCTAAATAAAGCTCTCTCAAACTCACTTGAAATCTTTAAATATATTTGTTCAGAGGACATTTTAAGGTGCCCTGGTGGCACAAGTTAAACAGCTCAACTGCTCGCCAAAAGGTTGCTGGCCTGAATCCCCGGTCCCCCACCGGCTCTGCAAGGAAAAAGCCACTGATCTGCTCCTGTAAATACTACAGCAAAGAAACCCTGTAAGGGCAATTCGACTGTCACAGGTTGACTAGAGGGGGAATCCATTTTAAAGCATCTAATGGGTTGGGGTTTTTTTTGTTCGTTAATAACTTTGTTTTGTAAGTGGTTTTTTAAAACAGGAGATTACCACCTGAAATCCATTTGATAAATTTGTTATTTTAACATCTTGAAGAACCTACCCTTAACAATCCTATCTCCACCTTCATTTGAGCACATGCTGAAATTGTGATTACGAAATCAGTTTATAGTTCTTCCCAGCCACCAACAGTTATCTACTAAATGAAGATCATCCATGTGCACTTAAACTACCACCTACACCTAGCCAGCTACTCAACTTTGAGTTACCCCTAAACGGCTCCAGACATCAAGGAATGGCTGCCTCCACTTTCCCTAGATAATTAGATGCATATTTTAAAGTTGAGAAAGCTTGTTTTCATTATTTCTTATAAGTGTCAGACCTACATAAGTAGTAAACCTCATGTCTATCAGCGCCCCTAAGTTATATCTCAAGCTATTATTACCTAGCTCAGAGCCTAACATACCATATGCATTGATCCAGTGTGGAAAATAAAGATCAGTAAAGTGACAGCCTCAGACTGTTAGCACAAAACAAGCTCTCCTGAAACTTTATTTTTTAAAAACATTAAGATTTTATGCCATTTATAAATTGTGTTTGCAATACCTTTATTTGAAGGCTCTGTCAAAGTACACTGCCTTTCATGAAATATTTTGAGAAGGGGGAGGTGGAAAGGAGAAGGGGCATAAGAAAAAGCTCACTTGTCTGCTGCATTAGCACAAGTTCAGCTGGACCATTTTACATTTTTTAAATGATATATTTGAAGCTGAAAGTGCTGTCACAGGAGAGGCGTTTGCCTTTGCACCTCCCACACAAATCTTGTCGATGGGGCCTTTTAGGGTCGACGTGCCGAAGTTTTACTGGGCAGGAGCATCTAGTCTGGTTACAACTCTGAAAAATCAAAGTGAGAAGTACATACAGAAGATAAAGGTCTTGGTGATTTCCAAGGACTTCAAAGCTGTTTTTGTGGGCCATTCAAATATATACCGAACGTGCTCTTAACAGCAAAGCCTTGTGCTAGTCTTTTCTGTCTACACTCCTACCTGGCAGTGATAACATTAAGAATAAAAGGTGTTTAACTATATAGTGACATCTCCAGGTGGCACAAAAGGTTAAAGTAATTGGCTGCCAACAGAAAGGTTACTGGGTTAAGTCTACCTAGAAGCATCTCAGAAGATCTACTAACTACTTCCAAAACAATTCAGCCACTGAAAACCCTATGGAGCAGAGTTCTCCATGAGGTCACCATGAGTCTGAATCTACTTGATGGCAACTGGTTGGGGGGGCCATGCTGCAGTGGTGACATACTGCATCAGATTCATTCTGAATTGTGAGGTTTCTTTTGAAGCCTAGAGTTTTCCAAGCATGTTCCTGCGTTGGAAGGATGGAGAGAACAAATAAGTCAGGAGCAGGATTCCGACAATGAAAGGTGTGAGGAACTAGTGACTAGTAGCAAGCCTTAGGTCAGGCCTGTCATCAGTGGCTGGCTGACATTGCCCCTTTTCCTGCTTCAAGTGCTCTCAAGCTGAGGCAGCTGGGCAGAGCAGCAACTGCTGAGCAAAGAGCAGAGTGGTCAGGGCACCCTGCTTTAGAACGTTCCTGCCATGGCCAAAAAAGGTCTCAGTGTTTTTCCATACTCAAATTTCTCTGCACCCACCCTATAGCATTAATGTTTCCAATATCCAAGTTGAGTCAAGTGACGGCCAGCACTGGTTAGGCTGTCTCTACTGGTAATTTGGGCTTCACTACCTGTGTGATTAAACTGATCACTTCTTTCCTCTTAGATTATGGAAGCCCCTTAGTGCAATGCTTAGTTAATAGTAAATAGTATGTTACCAGTTACCCTTTCACCCAAACCCCCCCCATAAAGCTGGGCAACAGCTTAGATTTACTTTAAAATAAATTGTCCTCCTCTGGTAGCTCTCAGGCAAGACTGCAACTTTAAAACCCTGTGCTGCTACCAAATACTTCATAAAAAGTACTCAGATAAAATAGTCAACCTTACCACCTCATGTTAGAAGAAAGTTATTCTAGTTTCCAGATGCTTTTCTCTTACATTAGACCTTGAGTAGCAAGTAAGACAAGCACTCTTCCCTATTGCAAGGGAGGTTAAGAGTCTCAAAAAGAGGTTAGCTTGACCAAGATTTGCAAGGGCAGAAGGAAACTAACACCTAAGTGCATTTCCCAGTGGAGTATTATTCTACTAGCCCCTCCTACCAAAAAGTGATCAAAAACTAAGGTATCTGGGAACCTAGCCTCTTCAGGAAATATATTCAAAGAAATGAAACCAAAACTCTACCCCCACCAAATTCAGTCCCAAAATGAAAACGTTTCTTTTACTTGACAGGTAATATCCTCCACTCTGTAAGGGTTATAAGACTTTTGACAACTTCTGCAAAATTGCTTGAAGTACACCTGTGATAAGAGAAAGAAAAACTTATAGCAAAAGCCCTCTTGGCACTTGGGTCAAAAAGGTGCTAGTTAAAAGGGGTTTCGTACCTTGTTAGTGCCCTGTACACACCACACATACGCACTTTCCCACCGGATGTTGCAGTCCTTGCAGTGATAGTAGCCATATTTCTGCTCTAAGAACTGAAAAGAATACCACAGATGAACATGACAGTTGAATTTTATCACCCTTCATTGCAGATGCTAGAAAGGGTCTGATATTTAAAATTGGCAACTTCATTCCTGATCACAGAGAAAAAACAGTAGGATCAGGTTCTGCTAAAATTCTACAGTGTAATAACTGAATTAATGGTTTAGTCAAGCAATTTAAATAAGCATGAGTTTAAGAATGTTTATATACAAGCTTAACTTGGTTCATAGAACAGATGACTATATAGGTGTTTTCTCTCAGACAGCTCAACATCCAGGGTTCTCTGAAGCTTGAAATTCTTTAAGGAGGCCCTTTGTAGGAGGGAGCTCTGGTAGCACAGTGCGTAAGGCATTTGACTGCTAAACAGAAGGTTAGTGGTTGAAACCCACCAGCCACTCCACAGAAGGAAGACTAAGCAATCTACTTCTCTTGAGCTACCACCTTAGAAACTCAAGGAGGGGTTGCTATGAGTTGGAATCAACTCAATGGCAGTGAGTTTAGTGTTTTGTTTTGTTTTTTCTCTGTAGGATAGAGCCTGATCAGTGGTTAAGCTGAAGAAAAGAACAAACACGGCATCATAAGATACTTTAGGTTTCATGTCCACGATTTCAGATTCTCTACCTACCCTGGAAGTGAAGGCAGTCATACTCAGTGGCAGAACTCTCCCCTTCCATGGGGGAGACCCAGGTTTGACTCTGCGCCAAGGCACCTCAGGCGCAGTCACCATTCATCTGTCAGGGGAGGCTTCTTTTTATTGTGATGCTGAACAGATTCCAGCAGAGCTTCCAGACTAATACAGACTAGGAAGAAAGGCCTGGTGATCTGTTTCCTAAGAATCAGCCAATGGCATCCCTATGGATCAGAACTGTTGTGCGTGGAGTACCCATGAGTCGGGCTGACTAGAAGGCAGCTAACAAGCCTGCTAGTTAAATATCCAAAGAGAAATGCTAGGAATCTAATGCTAGTAGATAACTCATAAGTCATATTTAAATGTGAACTCAAGTAGTATTACTTTATTCTTTAGCTCCTCTTTTTCTCCTCCAGTGAGAAACAAGTTACAAGCAAGTTTCTTGGGAGTTAGGCCTTTACAACTGGAAGAAGCTTTAGAGAGCACTTAGAGCAACTTCACAGGTTAATGAACTGAAGCCCGGGAAGGCTGAAACTTGCCTAAAACACAAACAAGCTTGTCTATGGCCAAGCTGGGACCAAGAGCTTCTTGATTCACTGGCATGGCTGTGGAAGTGAGTGACAGAGGTCTCCTCCCAGCTTTTACTACTTCTCAGGCCTACCTTCCACTTCCCCTGAGTTATAATGATCCTCTGGGCACCTCTAGCCGTAGGAGTTCAGCTAGTGTGAACTCAACTCCCATGCCTGCCGCTCTCTTAGGCAGCAATACTGAACAGCCTAAACTCCTTAGCTTTTTTGAGTTCCTGTAGAGGTGCTTTTTAAATGCAAGGAAAGCTGGTAAGGGGGGCATTCTGGCAACTCCAGCTTCCAGTAAACAGCTTGGAAAATAGGGTGAGAGGTGGACAGGATCCCAAGTCAACTGTTACGGCTTTTCCTACATTAAGTGTGGAAATAGGAATCAAATCTGGGGAATCCACTTCCACCAGTGAGGTCACCTTCTCACGTTTTATGTGAGTACCCACCCTAAACCTAAAAACCAAATCCGCCGCCATGAAGTCAACTCTGACTCATGGAGACCCTATGGAGAGAGCAGAACTGCTCTTATAGGGTTTCCAAGGCTGTAAATCTATACAGAAACAAAGTGCCACACCTTCCTTCGGTGGGAGCAGCTGGTGGGTTCAAACCACCAACCTTCTGCTAGCAATCAAGCAGTCAGCCACTGTGCCACCAGGACCTACCTACCCTAGGTTAAACAAACATGGGGTCAAGAGCGTAGTATTTGCCTAAGTTCAGAGTTTTAAACTGCAGATATGCTCAGAATAAAACTGTTAAAAAAAAAAAGCGTGTTTCCAATGGTGTATCCTGTGGAGCCAATGTTGTACAACAGCTACAGCTAAGAACCAAGCTCAATTCAATTCGAGTTCAAAGATGCCACCTGTGGCTGTAGAAATGCACACTGATGTGACCTAAGGAAACTTACCAAAAAAAAAAAAAAAAGTAAAAAGCCACCAAACTCACTGCTATGGAGTCGATTCCAACTCAGAGACCCCACTGGGTTTCTGAGGTTGTAAGTCTCAGAAGTAGATCTCCCCATCTTCCCTCTGCCGAACAGCTGGTGGGTTATGAACTGTGACCTTCGGGTTAGCTGCCAAATGCCTTATCTATGAGGCCAGCAAAGCCCCTTAGCACCTTTGCAGTCTTGAGTACCACCATGGGCAGGAAACAGAAGGCGACCTTGCGCGTCCCACGCCTTTGGGGACAGCCCTTAACTTCGGGTAGCCGTTGGCCAGGGGTCTCACCTGGAAGCGCAGACGCTCCTTGCGCTGCTCCGGGCTCCGCGGCGACGACCTCTCTCCCACGACGGCCACGTCCTCTTCATCCTGGGCCCTTCTCGCCGGCTCAGGCTGCTCCGGGCTCCTCGGGGCCGCTTTGCTTCCCCGGGCCTCCCGCGCCGGCAGTAGGGTGTCATCTGCAGGCTGCTCCCAGCTCGCCTGCACCGTGGACTGGGCTTCGTCGTCTTCCTCCTCGGACTGCGGCCACTGGAGCACCTTTCTCGCCGACGCCGTGCCCTGCTCCTGGCCTTCGAGCCCCGGCGACCGCCCTTGCTCTCCCTCGAGCGCCGCGGTCTTCTGTTCGCCCGCTCCCGCCACGGCAGCCTCGGGCCCCTCCAGGAAGGTGGTGAG